CACAAACATGTAATCCCAGCTACTTGGGAGGCTGAGACCCAAGAATCACTGGAGCCTGGGAGGCGGAAGTTGCAGTGAGCTGAGATTGCACCACTGCACTCCACCCTGGATGACAGAAGGGGAAAATAAAAAGCCTTTGAGATATTTATATTGTCCAAAAAGTATAATTCAAATACTTAATGCAGAAGGCAGTAGGATCACTAACCTACTGACCCATTCATCAATTATAACAGATGGAAGGCACTTTGTTAGAGTCCTGGAGGCTGATTGAGCTGGGGCTACCATTTTAAATTGCAGGTTCCTGGAGGAGATCCAGGAGGTCTAAACTGAGGTGTCTACAAGCAGGAGGCAGCCCCACTTGAATTTCTGACAACAACACTAACTAGCCAGCAGAGGGATATTTCCTGATCTCAGCAGTTAGCACAATGGTATTGAAGGCTGCTACAAAAATGCGAGTTTTGTAGTCACTCACCTGCAAGTTATAGGCAAGATAATATTCACCTGTACTCCTACCAGAAATTAGCCCTAATTGACTGGTCTTACTCAATCAGAACATGAAATTCCAACCTCTTATTCAGGTTTATAAATATATCCCACTTGCTTCACTTTGTGATTCTCCATCACATTGAAATAACTGGTAACTGGATGCATTTGGAATTGAGTCTCAAGTTCAAATCTCCATGGAACCTAACAAGAAAGTGTAGGAAGAGACAAAACAGAAGAAAAATGCAGGATAGAGAGATTTAGATGTGTCCATTCTGTGAACAGAGAGCAGATTCTCTTCGATCTAGCTGAAATAGGGGCCCCTGGTGTTATGAAAGTGATTATGTCTTCATACATGTTCCCATGGGTCTGGACAACCATGTGGTCATTTTATAAATGAAGAATTGAAGGCTTGTGGTCAGGGTCACAGAACTTGACGGTGGCAAAAGTGAATCCAATTTCCTGTCAAATCTATGATTAGTTCCATCTTGGCCACAATCATACTGCAAATCAGTTGCTCTTCTTCCAGTCAGTACCCACCTACCGGAATGTCAGCTCTTCAAGGGCATGAATTGCTGTTTCGTTCATTGTTGAGCCTTGGGAACCTGGGCCACTACATTGAAAGTCTCAATTGTTGACGTTAGTAATGCACAAGAAATCATGTTGTCAGATCATGGAAATCGCATCCATTAGGATGGCCATTAATAAAGTAAACATAAAATAAGCTGCAATGAAGATGTGGAGAAACTGGAACTCTGTCGTATTGCTGGTGGGAATGTAAAATGGTACAGTCATTGTGGAAAACTATTTGGCAGTTCCTCAAAAAAGTAAACATAGAACTACCATATGTGATCCAGCAATTCTACCTCTGGGTATATACTCAAAAGAATTGAAAGGCAGGAGAATTGCCTGAACCCAGGAGGTGGAGGTTGCGGTGAGCCGAGATTGCGCCATTGCACTCCAGACTGGGTAACAAGAGTGAAACTCCGTCTCAAAAAAAAAAAAAAAAAAAAAAAAGAAAGAATTCAAAGACATATTTGTATGCCCAAGTTCTTAGCCATGTTTTTCACAATAGCTAAAAGGTGAACTTTTGAAATAGCCAACTGTCATTGATGGCTGAATGGATAAAAAAGTGATATATATGTATGTGTGTGTACACACACACACACACACACACACACACACACACACACTGCTGAAGTGGAATATTATTCCACCCTAAAAAGGAAGGAAATTCTGATACATGCTGCAACATAAATAAACCTTGAGGACATCATTCTAAGAGAAATAAACTACAAGCTAGTCACAAAAGGACAAATGCTGTATCATTTTACCAATATGAGATACCTAGAGTTGTCAAATTCACAGAGACAAAAAGTTGAATGATGGTTGTGTGGGGCTGGGAAGCAGAGAGAATGGAAAATTACTTCCTAATGGATAGAGTTTCAGTTTGGAAAGGTATAAAATATTCTGGAAATGGATGGTAGTGACAGTTGGAAAATAATGTGACTGTTTTTAAGGTCACTCAATTATACACCAAAAAATAGTTACAATGATAAATTTCATGTTATCTGTATCACAATAAAATAATTTATTATGGTATCTGTGATTTAATTGACTATTTGTATTCATCACCATGTTAGAGCATGTTCAGTATCTCATATCCTGCAATACTGGAATGGACATGGTAATTTTTGGGTGGTAGAAAATAAAGTAACTTTTAAAAACCTATCTCTGTGTCTTCACATAATCTTATATTTCATAAATGTAAAATCATACACTTTCTATCTCATTTCTTTCTCCTAATAAAATGTTGACAAGATTTACAAGGTTCACTCACATTGTAGCATGTATCAATCAGTACTGCATGCTGATTTATGGCTGGATACTATTCCATTGTATGATAGACACATTCTATTATATTTATCTGTTTTTCATTTGATGGACATTTGGGTTCAATTCATAGAGACACAAAGTAGATTAGTGGTTGCTGGTGCTTGGAAGAGGACTATAGGGAATTAGTGTTTCATGGTTACGGAGTTTCAGTTTGTGAAGATGAAAAAGTTCTAGAGATAGATTCACAAAAATGTGGATGTAGTAAATGCCACCAAACAGAACAGTACACTTTAAAATGGTTCACTTTATGTTACGTGAATTTCATCTTAAATAGAAGAAAAATAAAGTCCGAAGTTGTCTATACTTCACTGGGATGCTCTTTTTAAAAGTGTAGAAAAGGAACTTAGTTTCTGTGCAAGTCATCAAAAGAGCATATAAATAAACTAAACAACAGTCAAATAAAACATGTCAATGTACACCACAGCATCCTGAAATGGAAGACTAAATGAAACTGTCCCCAGGGGTCTCTTCTTCCTTATCCATTACTTTCAGAGACATTTTATCTTAGGATTTAATTTGATTACTCACAATCCCAGTGTCTCCATTTGATCTCAGAGCAAACTTTAGTTGATAATTAAATTTCCATGCTTTTGACCAGGGAAAGGCTTAAAGAAATTTCTTTGAAACTGTGAACGTGTGGAAAGGAGAAAATTTTATATGTATCCAGTTTCTATCCATTCCATTAGGCATGTGGTCAGAACTTAAGTGTTGAAAGCATGCCACTTGCAGGGCCCTGGGCTCACAGCTACGTGCTATATTTTGTATTTGCATCCACTATTTGATTAGCAAATGTATATACTTACTAACAAAATATATCTTTTAATAAATAAAATTATTTTAAGAACAAAATAATAACATGTTTTAAGAAAACGTGCTTTCATTTGCCTTTTATTTTTCATTTAAAAATATTTATAAATTTACGGGTGTTAGAAATTCAGTTTTGTTACATGGGTATATTCATAATGGTGATATCTGGGCTTTTACTGTATCCATCACCTGAATAGTGGAACCTGTATCCAGTAGGTAGGTGCCCCTTCCACCTCCTCACATTTTGTAGTCTCATTGCCTATTATTCGACTCTGTGTGTTAATGCGGACCTGTTGTTTACCTCCCACTTGTAAGTGAAAACATGCAGCATTTGACTTTCTGAGTTATTTCACTTAGGATAATGGCATCCCCCCAGTTTCATTCATGTTGCTGCAAAAGACATAATTTCATTCTTTTTTTATGACTACTACTGAGTTGTATTCCACGGATATATAAACCATGGTATATGTAAACAATTATATATCCAGTCATCTGTTGATGGATACTTAATTTGATTTCATTACTTTGCTATTGTGAATAGTGTAGTGATAAACATGAGTGCAGATGTCTTTTTGATAGAATGATTTCCCTTCCTTTAAGCAGAAACCCATTAGTGGGATTGCTGGGCGAAATGGTATTTCTATCTTATTTGGTAAATCTCCATACTATCTTCCATAGAGGTTGTATTAATTTACCTTCTCACCAACAGTATATAATTGTACCCTTTTCTCAGCATCCTTGCCAATGCATGTTGCTTTTTGACATTTTTCAAAATGCCATTCACTTTCATCTTTTATTATAATTATTTAAATTAATAACTTTTAACGAAGAGAAGGGAAAGATGCAGTTTGTAATCCTTTTTAATGCCATAAAATTTCTAGTTACAAAGCCACAGATAAACCTCATGCTGGAGAGAGGTGGGGAAAATGGCTCAAGTTTGAAATAAAGTCCATTCGGGAAGATAAAATGGTTTTTAGGATTATAAAGATGTTTGATGTCTAACTTTGGTCTAGTTTTTCTAACTTTAAATGTATTATTCACATCTGCCCAAATTATTCACCACATGTCAAGACATTACCTACATTTACTTGCTTTATAATAATATTTGGGAATATTAGTAGGTGGTTTTTACTATAAGAGTTGATATCTGGCATTTGGATCTAGTATTTAGATTACTTTATATTTTCAGCTGCATATGCATCTATTAGATATCTGCCCTCACCTTTTCCTTCCCATTGTGGAAAATATACACTGGATTAAGGTGAGAGTTTTTTCTATTTCCATCTCTTAGACTTAAGTTATTTCCTTATCATTATTAACTCATGGAACCTGTGCTTTGTCCCTGGCTCCAGCTTGGGCTCTGTGCAAAAATCTATCCTACAAGATTTGGTCAAAGCTGTTGGCTGTGTAGGCACCCAGTGGAAACTTCCCTTTTCTCCTCTGAGGGTTCACTGAAAATCAACTCACAAAAGGGAGATTAATTGGAGAAAAGGCATGCACATTTCCTTTAATGTGCATAGGTTGGCGGGAAGGAGTAGGATAATGATTACCTGATATCTTAATGGGGTAGATATGCTTGTATATTATACTTCTTAGAGGAAAGAGAGGTAAGGACTTGAGGATGGTATTTAGGGGGGTAGTAAATGATTTTTAGGAGAATGAACATACAGTGGCTTAGAACAAAGTCCTTTGGTCTTACAGCGCAGACAGTGGTTTGTGACAAAAGTCTGTCCAGGTGTGTTGACAAACCTCAGTCTTTCTTCCTGTGATATGAGTTCTGAATCTCAGGGAAGGGACCAGAGGCCATTTTTTTCTTCTTTGATGGGTCCAGACTTTAGGCAGATAAACAGCTTTAGAGAACAACTTCCTTTTGTGCTTTGGAGGTTACAGAGGCTTGAGGAAAAAAGGGAGTGGGAGAAGGTAAGAGAGACCTTGAGGCTTCTTCAGTTCAGCACATCAAAGGGCCATATTTTGGAGGATGGGTTTCTGAGTCCCAACAGCTAGGTAGTGAAGACCACCCAGGACTGTGTTTTGAGGGCTCTGATGCAGACAGTCAAGCCTCACTTGTCTGGGAGGAAGCAAAATGCCACTCAGGGACACACCCCCATCTTAAATGTCTTTGTTATATTAACGATGGTTGGCACTCAGATAGCACGTATCCCTTGTGGTTTCAACTACTGGTTGACATGACCTTAAAGGCCCAAGCTATATATTTATTGGTCCACTTTTAAATACATTTTACTTCCACATGCAGCATAGCCATTAACCATTCATCATCCCAGTAAGAGAATCCCTGGTATCTGCATTGGGACAGAATCCCCATTCACTGCCTTGTATCACTTTTGTTGTTTGTTTTGTTCTGTTTTAATTAGTCTTATTATTATTTTACAAATAATCTGAAGGTAACATATAATTGAAAAAAGCAGTTATCTTGTGGTATCAAGATAAGTAAGCTAGTGCAGTTCCAGAACTATCTAACGAAGTGTCGTTTTCTTGCTGGATTTCAATATTGATAGACACATGGGATAACATCTCATGTAAATTCTGAAATATCTAATTGAATCTTCCTTCATTTTGACCCTCTTCTCAGTGGGCTCCATTTATCCCTAAAGAGCAACATTCTGTCAATCCTCAGGAACATGAAACATTACAATCTGCAGAGAAAATTACCAGCAGGAGAAAATATAACTGAATATTCAAAAGCATGTCTTTCATGTGAATGATCTTGAAGCCCCAGGGAATGGTAGAAACAGGGTCAGGAGTGCATAAGCCAAGAACCTTATTTGACCCAGCAGTTTCCATTTGTAAAACCCTACCCCTGCAGTTCCAATAGGAAAATAACAAATTGGCATCATTTAATGTTTAGTGATAGAAAAAGAAAAGCATGCCTTTGTTCATTTTCTACTCTTCTCATTTCCTGCTTCACCATTCCTATCAAATGAAACATTTTGTTTTCATTTCCTGTCTATAACTTATACTATTTCTGTGATAGATGATGTGCTTAACATATTGCTGCTTGTGAGTGAAGATACTTTATCATCAAAAGAGATAGTATCCATTTGAGGAACATCTAGTGTATGAGGACAAGTTTTATTTTCATTTTTCCCTTAAGTTGTTTTTTTATATTTTAAAAGTAGTTGTAAAATGAGAAAACATGGGATCACATGGAAACACAAAACTTACAATTAATAAATGTGATTTTGTATTTATTTTAGGTATGCAAGAGGTACGTTTGTGTGGGAGTATAAAAACAATTATTTTAAGCCTCCTTTCATTTAATAATTGTCTTTTGGGCTCAGATGTAAACAGACAACTTGTTACACATGTTTCTTGTTTTTAGGAGCTTCCACCCCAATATGGGAAATAAACAGAGACCCTACTAGTTCTTTACAAGTTTCTTAGTGAAACAGGATACAGCATTTCCCAAACCCCTTCATGGGTGGGAACTGGAATGCACTTGTGCTGGAACTAGTTGGCTACTTCGGGGCCAGCAGGGGCGACCTCCACTCACACACTGTTCTACCCCTCATGGGAGGAGAAACACAGGTGAACAGGTACAGGAGCCGAGGCAAGGAATTTTGGGCACCATGCAAGAATGAACTCCATACCAGCCCCACGGCAGCATCTGGTAGTGGGTGCCTGCAACCCCTGAAGCCCCAGAGGAAGTGTTACACTGCCCATTTTGCTTTGCCATCTGCGTACAGTGTAAGTGTTAACAGCTCAGTGGAGGGTTGGTGTGATAGCCTTTTGTATCCACACTCATGGCACCCAACTTCTTATCTGGCATCCAGGAGGAATGAGGTCACATGACCAAATAGAAGATGGTAAATGCAGAGGATTTTATTGCTGGTGAAAATAGTTCTCAGCAGGAAGGGAAACTGAAAAGGGGATGGAGCGAGAAGGTAATCTTCCCCAAGAATCTAGTCATCACCAGCCAGAGTCTTCTCCAAAGCTATGCCATCAAACTGTCCCTCTGAAGTCAAGCCACTTCTCTTTGACGTCCAACCATAGTCTCTGATGTCCAGCCCCTTCTCCCCTCTGCTGCCCAGCTCCTTCTTCCCTCTGCCAGCAAATCCTGGAGTTTTTCTGGGCACAGGATGGGGGGCAGGGTGGGCCATGGGTGTTTTTGGAAAAGGCAATAGTCAAGTGGGAAAACAGAAATGTAAGTTCTCACTTTGGACTGTGGTTGCATGCTTTTCAGCTTAAGGGTAGGACCTTCATCAGGAACCAGCTCTCTTCTGCCCAGAATTTTCCTTCCTCCTGTCCCTATCCGTTTTGTATTTATTTTAGGTATGCAAAAGGCATGTTTGTGTGGAAGTTCAAAAATGTTTAATTATTTTAAATCTCCTTTTATTCATTTAATGAATGTCTTTCTACCTCAGATGTAAACAGGAAAGTCATTACACATGTTTCCTGATTTTAAGGCAGCTTCAACCCTATCATGGAAAATAAACAGAGATCCTACTAGTTCTTTTCAAGTTTCTTTGATAACAAATTAGATATATTCTACACCCCTTAGTGGTGAGTGCTTATGTTGTCAACTTTGCATTTGTTTTCAAATGAGATTAAAACACAACAACAACGGTGTTTAAAAGTTTCTGCTATAAGAAAATAAAATCTGTGTATTCTATTTTGGATCTTTCCTTAATTTCTTTACAGAGTTCTGGTTTGCAACAAAGTTTTATCAGTAGCTGATGTACCTTCCAAAGAGCTCTTTCAGGGTTTGATGGTTAATGTACATTTAGTGGCTTCCATATATATATATATATTTTAAACATGACTCTGAATAAGCTCCCAGCTCTCAGGTTCTTCCAGCTCTTTCTGAAATGGTCCACAACATGATTGCTTTAAAATTGAAAAGTGAAATGATTTTATTTCAAAGCCCACAGATCTAAAACCAATAGGTGTACCTTTCTTGAGCACACTTCATTCTGCAGGTGAAAATACTCTTCCAACAATTGTCTATGACAGTGGTTTACAAGTCAGCATTTTGCTGTAAAGAATCTGTCTCTTTCTAACCATCACAAGAAGTAATTTAAATTATGCTTTTTCTTTGTAAGCATGTTGACTGAACCTTACATATTTCTATTGATTCTACGCTAAACACAGATACTCTTTTATTTTTACTCTATTTGACTTGGTTTATACAGTTCACATAGTCACTTTTGTATGTCTAAACATGCCTGACTGTTTTAGTAGATGGCATGGTGATATGGTTTGGCTGTGTCCCCACCCAAATGTCATCTTGAATTGTAGTTCTCATAATCCCCATGTGTCATGGGAGGAAGCCACTAGGAGGTAATTGAATCTTGTGGTGGTTAGTCTCATGCTGTTCTCGTGATAGTGAGTTCTCATAAGATCAGATGGTTGTATAAGGAGCTTTTCCTCCCTTTGTTTGGCATTTCTCCTTGCTATTGCCATATGAAGAAGGAAATGTTTGCTTTCCCGTCCACCATAGTTGTAAGTTTCCTGAGGACTCCTAAGCCATGTTGAACTGAGTCAAACCTTTTTCCTTTATGAATTACCCAGTCTCAGGTATGTCTTTATTAGCAGTGTGAGAATGGGCTAATACAGTAAATTAGTACTGAGAGTGGGGTGCTGCTGTAAAGATACCTAAAGATGTGGAAGTGACTTTGGAACTGGGTAACAGGCAGAAGTTGGAACAGTTTGAAAGGCTCAGAAGACAGAAAGATGTGGGAAAGTTTGGAATTTCTTAGAGACTTGTTGAATGGCTCTGACCATAATGCTTATAGTGATATGGGCAATGAAGTCCTCTCTGAGGTGGTCTCAGATGGAGATGAGTAACTTGTTGGGAACTAGAATAAAGGTGACTCTTGCTGTGTTTTGCCGAAGTGACTGGAGGCATTTTACCCCTGCCCTAGAGATATGTGGAACTTTGAACATGAGAGAGAAGATTTAGCGTATCTGGTGGAAGGAAAATGTGGGGTTGAGCCTCCCCACAGAATCTCCACTGGGACACTGCCTACTGAAGTTGTGAGAAGAGGGCCATTGTTCTCCAGACCCCAGAATGGTAGATCCATCAACAGCTTGCACCGTGTGCCTGGAAAAGCCACAAACACTCAATACCAGCCCATGAAAGCATCTGAGGGAAGGGGGGTTTACCCAGCAAAGCCATGTGGGCAGAGCTGCCCAAGGCCATGGGAGCCCACCTTTTGCATCAGCCTACCTTGGATGTGAGACATAGAATCAAAGAAGATCATTTTAGAACTTTAAAATTTGGCTGCCTTGTAGGATTTCGGACTTGCATGAGGCCTGTGGCCCCTTGGTTTTTGTGAATTTCTCACATTTGGAACAGGCATTTTTACCTAATGCCTGCACCCCCATTGTATCTAGGAAGTAACTAACTTGCTTTTGATTTTACAGGCTCTTAGGCAGAAGGGACTTGCCTTGCCTCTGTTGAGACTTTGGACTTGGACTTTTGAGTTAATGCTGGAATGAGTTAAGACTTTGGGAGACTGTTGGAAGGACATGATTGTGTTTTGAAATGTGAGGACATGAAATTTGGGAGGGACTAGAGGCAGAAAGATATAATTTGACTGTGTGCCCCCCACACCCCAATCTCATCTTGTAGTTCCCATAATCTCCACATGTTGTGGGAAGGACCCATTGGGGAGGTAATTGAATCATGGTGATTGATTCAATTAAATGTCAACACTTGAGAAAAACCCTGATTGTCTGAAAAACTGAGTGAGATGCCCCAGCAAGTTACGTAACAGTTGGTGAGTTTGCAACAGTCTAGGAAAACCCTTTGACTCTAGAGTTAGAGAAAATTTTCATTGACCCTAGCACGCTGTTGGTTTTACTCAGGGATGCTAACTTTGGCTAATACATTTTTTCAGAGACTGATGTGATAATGACAATACCATGCTTGTCACTCACTTTGTAACTACCAAGTATGTTGTTCAGAAATTGCATCTGTTATCCCATCTTCCTTTTACAAAAATCCTATAAGATCATTACTATTATCTTGATTTTCTTTGAACAGATACCACGAGAGTCCCCCTCTACTTGAATGAACTTGAGTTTATTGACTCTTT